AAATTCATACGCTTATATTTTTTAAAAGATTAAAACATAGATACAGAATCACATTTTGTAATTTTTAAATTTTAGTATTTGAAATAATTTTAAGGAAATGTAAAACCTCATAAAATTGTATTTTAGAAGTAGTGGTAGTCTAAAAATCTCCATTATTTTAATATTAAATGATTTTATTATAAATAGTTTTGCCATAAACAAGTTTCATTATTTTAAAATGTACCATCTCTTTATAAATCACTTTTCTAGAGTTCTCTACCTTCTCTCTAAGATTTCTTGATCTCAAGTCATCTGTTCGACGATCAGGAAGTGTCTAGGCGATCCTGGCGTCGAGGGCTACAATTCCTACCAATTAATTTCTTGATTCGAGCCAGTAAGTTGTTTCACCTCTTTCTTCGTGAGTTCTTGAACCTTGATCATGCAATGGATTTTGTTTGCATGTATCAAGTAGCCTTTCCCTTCAATTTTTGACTTCAATTAGGTCCTGAAGTTGGTTTCCTATCACCAATCGGTGAGTTGTAGGTTTTTGTAGAGTTTCCTTGCGGTGCAAGCAAACTGTCGGGGTTTCTTTGAGCCATGCTTTTGATATGAGGTAAGGGAAACTAGTTGATCACTTTTAAATTGTATGCATGTTGTGAAAATGTATGGTATGAGAATATCAAACTGTTTGAAATGTGAATGCAATTAATGCTCTTGATAAATTTGGGATTTTTTATGAATTTGATAAATGGTATGATAATGAGTAGTGGAAATGAAAGTAGAACCTGTTTTATGTATGTTTGTGATGCTGTAATTTCATGTTGGTGAAGTGAATTGGGATAATTGGGCTGTTGAAGAAAAAAGGGTAATATAAGTTGAGGATGAATTTTGTCAAAAATTGGGGTTTATTGTGGAGAATTGATGAGCAAGGGTGGATGAACTGAATTACTGCATTAGAGGTTAGTTATGAGATGGTTGAAGGTAGGTTTGATACTTTGGAAGTGGTAGAAATCTGAGTTGTAGGTAGGTAATGGGGATGAAGTAGAGTTCTATTTGTGTTAGAACTCAATTTGGAGGAAGTGAGGTAGTGAAAACTTGAATTTGGAGTTCTGTGTACAAATGGTCAGTTTGGACAGCCTTGATAAGTCATTTGGGACTTTCTAGAGTCCTTAAGTTGCTTGGAATTATGCCACAAATGGTAGAATTCAATTTAAGCCTCTAAGTTGTGTTTTTGTGAGCTTTTTTGGTGAGATTTTGAGTTTTCTTGTTTAGATTTAGGTTATGAGTGTTTAGACAACCTTGGTTGAGTATAAGTAAGTATATAACACAATCTAGGAGGGTTAAAAGTTGGAAAAAATAGTTGGAATTGGTAAATTTGATGTAAGTTGCGTAATTATGCAGATTTGGTGCTGCATAATTATGTAGACTCGTTGAGCGAGTGAATTCGCTCAACAAGTGGTGGTAGAGGTGGATTTTCTGTCAAAAGACTTTCGCTTAGTGAATGGTATGCGCTAAGCGAATTGTTGAGGTCTGGGAGCACTATCATTTTTATTCGGATAACGAATGGCATGCACTGAGCAAATTGTTGAGGTCTGGGAGCACTGTCAGTTTTATTTGGATAGCGAACAGACTTGGTGCGCTGAGTGAAAATATCAGACTTTTAACTAAGCTTTTATATGTTTTCTTAAAGTGTGTACAATGTATGTGAATGTTTGAATGATTTGTTTCTACTACTTGTTGTGGAGTATGAATTGAATTGTAATATGAATTGAAATACATAATGTTTGATTCTTGAGGTTATGTATGTATTGAAAGTATGGTTGATGGACGTAATTCCATGATCCTCACGGAGAGGTTACATGGTGGAGCCCAGTGTTGTGAATTAAAGTGAAAGTATGTGGTTCAAGGTAAGTTCCAAAGTGAATGCTCTCGGTGAGGTTCAAGTGTTTTAGAATGAATACATGGAGCTCAGTATTGGGGGTTATCCTAACACTCTAATGATTTTCATTCTCAAATAGAGAGGATTGATACATGTGGTGAGAGTAGTAGGAGGTCCTAGTGTAGGTGCTACCTGGAGGCCTATTGCGCGGTAATGGACTAACCTTGTGTGGGTGGTAGGGTGAAACTCATTGACAATGTCTTTGTAAAGCAGTAAAGGCCACCACAAGTGTACAATCCGTCATAGCTCGGTATTCATTTTAAGTCCGGACAATCAGTTTAGGTCTTTGCATGTTAAGCTGTTTTGATTGGATTAAATTACATATGATTCTTATGTGAAATGCTTTAAACTTATGATGTATTGTTTTGTATCTAGCTTACTCTTACTTTTCTGTTACCTGTCTATGTATGTTGTTTCTCTTTTGCGATAATCACCTAATGGTGTGAGCTTAGGGATTCACTTTTTCAGTTGTTCCAGCTTGAGGTGAGGAAGTAACAAATGAGTTGTTAGATTTTATACTATTAAAACGGGATGTTACAGGAAATGCATTTGTTTTGACAAATATAAAAATTTTAAAATTACAAATGTCATATTTTTAATATTTTAAGAAAAAATTATAAGTTTAAAATAGATATTTTTTTTATTAAAACTAAAAATGTGAAAAATAAATTATTATATGAATCCTTCTTTATTTAACTTATATCTACCTAAGGTCAATGACTGCCACACAATTGGTCATTGGTGTTGTGTGGAGTAAAGACACAGTCAACATGGAAGAATCTGTCTTGTGGTTGCAGTGGCAATGTATGCCACTAGGACTTGGTTTCATGGTCTGACAAATGTGAACCACTAGATTCTGATTTTTGCAAGAAAACCTATCCTATGAGATTCTGCATGCCACGTGGCAACTCAACATCTAATTTCTGATTCACACTCCTATCCTTTGAGATAAGAACATGTTTTAACAAAATTGCATTCTCTTCCCTCTCATCATTTAATCACCACAAGACAGCAACTCACAGAGCTAACTCTTCAAAGCCTGCCATGGCTTCCTCCTGTGCTTCCTCTGCCATTGCAGCTGTTGCCATCTCCACCCCAAGGCAAGTTCATAGTTCCCACGTGCCCATGCATATATTATTACTTGTAAAACAAACGCTACGTCAAATGTTTCATGCATTGTCCTCTAACTAAAATGATGAAACATTGAAAACCTGTGATTCAATTTAAGTATATACTGATATGATCCTTAGCTTGATCATTCATTGATATTGAACCTAATACTGAGTACTAATGGAATTGCATGCAGTTCGAAAAATGGATCACTGTTGGGAACCGCAAAAGCTTCTTTTCTCAGTGGAAGAAAACTGAAGATGAACAGTTTCACAGCACCAGTTGGAGCACGATCCAGCACTACAGTGTGTGCAGTTGCTGACCCTGATAGGCCTCTGTGGTTTCCAGGAAGCACCCCTCCTCCATGGCTAGATGGTAGTTTGCCTGGAGATTTTGGTTTTGATCCTCTCGGTCTTGGTAAGCAATCATCACTTTCAAAATATTCTGAATAAGTTCAAGCAATAACATTAGACTATTCTTTCTTGAGAATTCAAGTGAGTGACAACAAAAGTATGTTGTGGTTCGGCAGGATCTGATCCTGAGAGCTTGAGATGGAATGTTCAGGCAGAGCTTGTGCACTGCAGATGGGCCATGTTGGGTGCAGCAGGCATTTTCATCCCAGAATTCCTCACAAAGATTGGTGTCCTTAACACCCCTTCATGGTACACTGCTGGAGAGTTGGAGTACTTCACAGACACTACCACACTGTTCATAGTTGAGCTCTTTTTCATTGGGTGGGCTGAGGGTAGAAGATGGGCTGACATCATCAAACCAGGCTGTGTCAACACTGACCCCATCTTTCCCAACAACAAGCTCACAGGAACTGATGTTGGGTACCCAGGTGGGCTTTGGTTTGACCCACTTGGCTGGGGAAGTGGTTCTCCTGAGAAGATCAAAGAGTTGAGAACAAAGGAGATCAAGAACGGGAGGTTGGCCATGTTGGCTGTGATGGGTGCATGGTTCCAGCACATATACACTGGCACTGGTCCTATTGACAACCTCTTTGCCCACCTTGCAGATCCGGGTCATGCTACTATTTTTGCTGTAAGTTCATTTTACAATTGGGTCTTGCCTAATGATTTCACTAATTTACTTTGGTGGTGACTTTCCTATCAAAATTAGAGCTTTATTTCTGTAGTATGTTGACATTTCATCTTGGAGAATAATACTAACAGCATGCATATAACTGTGTAAGTTTTGTTCATTTATTGTTGTTTGTGCTGATTTTATCTGTTACTGCTACAGGCTTTCACTCCCAAGTAAGAAGGGTTGGAACAACTCTATGATTGCAAGTCATGGAGAAACATTGGCAAATCTGTTTAACTAAGTTGTAAGGCTTAAATGTCTTTAGAGGGAAGTGTTTATGTCGGTGAAAGCTTGTAAAATGGCTACTTCTATTATCATGCACAGATTGATGATTCAATGTACAAATACCTATTTAAGTTTAGATGCATTTAATGTAAATTCAGGAAGTAGTCACAATTTTTACATGCATGATAAGACTGCAACACTATATGATGGTAACTAGCACAGGGGACATTAGATGGTCCTTGGTCGCTTAGTTAATCTTCATTTCACATTTCCTAAAAAATCAATGCTCTTAATCGATTATATTTATCTCATAACCATACAGAGAAAACGCACTTAAAAATATGTGAAAAGTAAGCATTAATTTCAGTTTTATCCCCTTTTTATTGGAAATTAAAACTTATAGCTCTGAAATCTTCACAATAAGTTTACCAAATATACAACCATTGAGCTTTTCTCTCCCTGAGAACCACTTTTAATATCACGCAATGCTATTAACAATTCTTAAGGTGGAGTGTTTATAAGAATAAAATAAATGAGAACACAGATTTTGAAAGCAACTCACCAATTTACCAATATTGGTGGCATGCCAGTTGCCATTTTGAAAGCAACCCACACTAATTTAAGGGAATTTATTGCGTTTCTTTTATCCTTAGACAAAAAGAACACCAAAACATTTTCTGGTTTCAAGGCCACATAAACACTTGAAATAATGACATGATCCTACAAGTTCGTATGGAGTATGAATAGTTGTAATTCTACTTCTTGTTTATGAAACTTTGAATCCTATTCTAATCTTAGCAAGCTAACTTCTATTACAGTACAAAATCACAGGATATGTATAATAAAGACAATCAAATTTCCCTGAATAAAATTTTTCGTATAGCAACTCAATACAAAATAGCTTCATGTGGATATCAATATCTGTCTGCATAATTTTCAAATTTTCAAGCACCTCCATTTGGTTTTTATCTTTGGACATCTGCAATGAAAACCAATATACGATAAATCCAAGTAGATAACATGAAATAAAAAAAAACAAATAAATTATGTAACGTGAGTAAATCATATTATAGATAAATTATTGACTCCTAAACTTTCTTCACTCATTTTTAATTTTTCTTACTCCCTCTGTCTAAGGATTATGATACCATCTAATTTACTTTTCTTATTGGAACTTTTCCTGTATTCTTCACAACATGCCCAAGCCCCCTAAGGCGAGATTCTAGTATTCTATGATATTTTTTAACTATTCAAATCTTTGGACATTTAATCACTTTAGTTCAAATTCTTTTCCATACAAGCAAAGTAGAATACTTGATAACACATAACTCTATACATCTCCCTAATTTACTGATGTAATTCTGGTCCATAACTATTTCAAATGCAATGAAATTGCTGAAATATTCATTGGTAAGTGGTAGAAACTTGGTATCTTTATTGCAGAAGTACAATGATGAACTTCCAATAGAATACTTAGACACAGTAGCTCCTTGAGGGACTGCGCCTACCAAGCCAAAATGATGGAAACCCATCCAAGGAGCTGTAGCATGGACCAGTAGAATGGAACTGTCTGTGAATTGATACTAAATGAAGTGAAAAGAAAAAAAAGAGAAATGTAATGTGTGGCCTTTGTGAGTTCAAAACAAAAGAAAGAAGTAAACATGTATAGAAAGATGATGAAAAAAATCTGAGAACGAAATAGCAGTATTGTTGCCTAGCCATGTTGAATCAAAAGAAATCAGAATAGGACAATTCATAATGCCACTTACTCTTGATGACTCAACTCAAAAAAGTTCAGTTGACAGCACAATCTTCTTCCATATTTTCTTATGAAAAAATGTTCAATTATGATATTAATTTCTAACATTTATTTCTATGAGCAATTGTTTCCTAATTTTTCATTTTCTTTGTAACCAACAGCAATGTCTCAGACAAATCTTATAATAAATTCCATCCAGTCTGTAGCCAGTTTATGCAGAGCAAGTATCACAGGATATCTTACCACTGAGAGTTCTTGCTCCACAGGACCTCGCCATCAATTCCAGTAAGATGCTGATCATCAAGGCGTTTCCATGTTTTAATTGACTTAACATCTCCCCAGCTTCCTTTCTCTGTTTTCTCCAAGCTAGCTACCACCACTCTTGCTCTTCTAGACCACCCTGCCTTTCCATAAGCATGGTATCCAAATCCCCCAGCATAACAAAGTTGTATATTCATAAGATTTCCACAGAAGTCATTGAGGTGATCATGGCCAATGAAAACTGCCTTCACATCTCCTGCTGAAACCAAGGTTGTGAAGAAGCCAGAGTTCACAGAAGCAGAGCTAATGCCATTACCATCCGGTTCCAGTTTCACACCAGTCATGTTTGATGAATCAAAACTAGCATATTCTGGCAGAGGGATGTGGAAATATGTAAGACCAGGAGCAGCATCTTTCTGAGGCAAGGGTCCACTTTTATATGCTTTCTGCAGGATACAGACAGAATTAGAGGTCAATCCTAACATCACCAATGAAAACTGAACAATAAGCCATATGTTTAATGAGAATCCACAGAAATTTCCATTCACATGTTTCATGTCTCGTAAAAGTTATCATAGTTTCAATTTTGTTCCTGCTTTCAAAGGTTTGTATTGGAAATGTTGAAAAAGCGGTGGATTTGTAACTTTTTTTATGCAATAGGAAATGAAAACAGAACCTTAAGCTTTGCAGATGTTCGTTGAAACCAAAGTTGCTGGGAGGGCTTGATCCAATCATAACCAAAAATTGTAGAAACTTTGGAATAATCTCCACTATCAAGAAAATATAGGTTGAGCACTGATTTATTTTCAAAATCAGAGCCTTCAACTCCTCCAACCTCCAAGTTATAGTTCCCAAAACCATCAATGATATGTGCTTCAGGAGGATTGAATTTGGATAAGGTGTTTTTCATCCCAACAATATGCTTCATCACCCCTTCCCTAGAGAGGGTTCCTTCCTGGTCATGGTTGCCCAAAACAGCTACCCAAGGAATGTTTGATGCAATTGCAGGAGCAAATGCAGCCTCCAAGGATTTAGCTGAATCCGTGCAATCAAACCCAAAGATATTGTCTCCTGTCATACCACAACAAACATTCACCACAGGTTATATCATATATCATTAACCAAGGAAACTTATAACTTCGAAATAGATGTGCAAATGATGATTAACCAACGTAAAAAGAAACTACAAGCTACAAAAACAAGATTCTAACTCGAGTTCATTTCATTTCCATCCGACTACAAGTAAATAGAACAACATGCTCTTTGTCTTTGATTTCTTATAAAATAACTTGGGTATATAATATTATTATCCAAGAAAGTAGAAACGTTCCACTCGAAAGAATGAAGGGAAAAGGTCATTTTCTTAAAACTAAGAAGCCAAAATATCAAACGATTAGAAATCAAATGAAATGATAACTAAAAGCAAGACTAGTTACCGGTGAAGACAATAAGATTAGGCTTCTCAGCTTGGATCATTCTGTTAATAAAGACAGTAGTATTGAGGTCAGAGCAAGAAAAATTCTGAGAAGGGAGCACATTCAAGCAAGGTGTGCTCTTGCCATTTGCATAGTGCATATCTGCTACCTGCAATATCTTGAATTCTCCATTTTGGCCAAACCTTAGCTTTTGATTCGGTTGAGGTGATGGGGGGTCTGCTTGTGTTGCAGCCGAGACACTGAAAGCAGTCAAACAAAGCCACCATACTGTTGACACCAAAACCATGAAATCTAAACTCGGTCTCCCCTTGGTACCAAACAAATCTCTTTTACCAGAAATCATCACTGCTTTTGGGAATTGGGGAGCCAAACACAAAAGAAAAACTCAACTTGTACCAGTACTCCTTGTGGGGTTGAAGTAGCAAGAAGATATATAGGCTTGAGCTTGGCCACTTTGGAAAGTAAAGTAAGGTCCTTCTCTGTTTTTTCTTTGGGAATTAAATATTTTTCATGGCTTTGGTTTTTTATATAGGAAGAAGACAACGTGAAATGAACAGTAACATCAGAATGTGCCTGTGTGAACTAGGAACACGAAAAAATTGTTAGGGGATGTCCTTGTCTGAGTGTCAGGTTGATGATAAGCTTAGTTAGATAGATTGAACCAAAGTCATTAAGCATGGGCCAACTGGCAACTTCCAAAGGATATTCTTAGAGACAAGTTCAAAGAGTCATGACATGATTCTGTTTCCTCCATCAGAAAATGTGTAGTGCATGATCATTTTGTAATCCCAGAGAATTTCATATGATTTTTTTAACTATGGGAGATTTACTTGGAGACAGAACTAGAAAAAAAAAAATACTATAAAGTATTGAAATTCACTTTTTTCTATTGGCTGGTCAATAATGAGTTGCTTCTAGAAAAAAAGGAAACAAATAAAAAGCATTACATTATCATATAAACTAAAGTTTTAACAATAAAAGAAAAAACTAGAACTATTGAATGTCTTGATTTGTTTTGGTACTAGTTAATGTCTTAATTTTAATGGAAAGATTTTTCTTTGAATTTAATTCAAAGCATATCAGCATATTTAAAACTCACCTAATTATAGCTACTCAAACCTAGACAGTAAAACGAATTTAATATGCGTGAAAAACTAGACTGCAGGGCATATGACATTTATTATATATTTAAGAGCTCATTGAATGTGTCAACCTCTGTTATTGTCTCCATTGAACCCTCGTGGCAATTATTATCTGTGAAACCTGTACAGAAAGGGATCTGCATTTTACTTTTATTTCCCCCTATGGTTTTGTTTTGTCTGAATATGTAAGTGGTCACTATAGGAAAGAAAAAATATAGAAAACCCCCATATAGAACCATATTGTATTTTTCAATGATAATGGATAACTATTATTGAATTCAGTTACGGGCTGGCGAAGAGATATAGGGGAGAAAAAGAGGAAAACCGTAGAGGATATGGGTCGAACGGTGGAAAACCAAACGGTAGAAGATATGGGCCCAACGGTGGAGAGGGTAGAGCACGAAGACCGAATAGTAGAAGAAAGGGAGAAAGAGGACCAAACGATAGAGGATATGGGCCGAACGATTAACGACAGGAACGAGCGGTCTAGATGATAGAAGGGGGAGAGAGACTTAACCGAGCGGTAGAAGGAAGAGGGAACACGATGGTCGAACGGTTAGTGACAAGGAAGGAGGAGCACGATGACCGAACGGTCAATGACAAGCGGTTCAAATGATAAAAGGAGGAGAGAGACTTAACCGAGCGGTAAAAAAAAGAGGGAAAGAGGGCCAAACGGTGAGGAACAGCGAGAGCATCCTAATTGACACAACAGTTAGGATGAACAGGAAATTTATTAAAATTTAAGGGCGTATCTCAGGATATTATTAAATATAAATTAAATATAGTAAATAACGGTGAAGATATTCTTATCTGATAATCTTAATAAATAGGCATAATTACTATGATTCTTTACCTTTTTTTGGAGAGAGTGATTAGTATAATTAAAGTTAGAGTTTAGGGTTAAAGATATATTTTTATGTGTGAGATTTGTAAGAGAGGTTATGCTCCCAGGTAGATCTGATCCGAGTTATTGGTTGTTATCTTTAGTGTCGTATTTTCTATTCAATAACAGTGATATATTTAGTAAATTTCAAGTGTTCCTTATCTTTGGTTACAATGATCTATTAAAATATTCTTTAATTGACAAATAGCACCAAATGGTATGTAAATTGTCCATCACAAAAGGGTCTTTCTCAAAAGTTTCCTTCATTCTTCTCATCCAATGGTTTATGTTTTGTCTCTTGGCCTGGTCAGTTTAATCTTATTTTATTCATTTAATGATATTCATTTCCCTTCACAATTATGCATCTCTAACGTGTCTTGTGGACGTAAGTACAAAAATGACAACCAATGCTTGTAGTTATGGTCAGGATTCTTTCACTGTTCAACCCTGATTCGGAATCAAACAGTTTCAAAGTGGATGTTTACATGTAGCTCAAATTATACTATAAATTAATCAAAATCTTAACTACTACAATTCATGAGCACAGCTTATGACTCACAAATGAAATTTTTAACATTGCCCTGGGGTGACAAGCCAGGCAGAACTGTGTTTTTTCATGAGTTTTGCTTACTTTGTTGAATTGGTTTTATTTTAATAGTGAGTTAGGTGTTCATCCTTAATATTTTTGAATTTTGATTATAATACAGTTTGAATTAAGAAAAGAATATGTTTGTAAAGAGAATCTCACTTAAGAACCTTACCTATTTTCTACTGGTTTTCCCCTTAGCTTATGTGCTGCTTTTAAAAATTGAAAAAGTTAATGGTCCATCCAGCCTTTGATAATAGCAGTTAATTTTCCTCACATGGAAGGAATTTGGGATATCTCATTGTTTTTTCGCTTACCAGTGGTGTCACTGTTCAGTCTGTGATACATCTTCCTCTTCTGTTAAGACTAGTAAGCAAAACTTGAGGTTGTTAGTTACAAGTTATCTTCATTAACACATCACTCGTTAGCATCCTAATCAGTAAGGGAAAAAACAAAAGCATTAATCATAGGGGAGGTTCTGTTCCTTTAGAGACAATAATAGTATAAAATGGGGGAACTTTCTACATGTGCATCAAAATTTTCACAAGCATGCAACATGCCCATGATGGAATAAGATCACTATAGTTCCACATTCCCCACTTGCTTATTTACCTTTTCTTTTGGTTTAGGATAGAAAAATGTTAATACAAATTTTCCCCTTTGACTCACTGTTTTCTAATTTCTGCAGCTCGTTCGCCAAATGATAAAGTGTAGAAAAAAAGATGTCCAAGACCACGACGCACTAAACTAGTTCGAAATTCCACACCACTTTACTAAAATGTTCTTCTCATTTGGGATAGATAAATGTTACCGATACAAAGTTTCCAACACACTTTATTTTCTAATATCTGCACTTAATTCATCACATAATAAAGCGTGTTGAAAAAAGGATGTCCAAGAGTGTGTCTACATGAATGTCAAGGTCAAAAAATGAAAAGAACTGCAGGTAAAATCAATTGTCCAGACCATGTTTTCTTGAGGATGGACCAAGAAACTAAGGAGTTGTATTTGAAGTGGGGACTGGGGACTAATATTATCAGAACAAATATGAAGGAGAGACGTGATTCTCCTTATGTTGCTTGCAGTTATCAGGCTATAATGGCAAATTGAAGTGCTGAGACTGCCAAGAAATTTACGAAGGTATTAAACGTTATCACAAAAAAACATAGAAATTGCAGATTTGATTTTAAATTCTCCTATTTTCTTTAAGAATGGTCAAACACAAGTGGAATATAGATGTACTTGTCTTTGTAGTCAACTGTATTATCTTTCACAGTCAAATGTAGAATTGTAATTTTAAATACTATGAAAACTACTTTTGTCATATTTGATCTCAATACTAATTAACATTAGTCAAAGTTGTTGAACGCACGTACACACAGACATACAAAAGTACCACTTCAGGAATGAAGATAGAGAATGTGAAATTTTCTAACAACTTTGTTCTACAGTAACCTCTGCTTCAAATTCACAATGGTATGGAAGTCCTCCTTTGCGGTCCCAAATGAATGTTGGTAGCAAGATACCTATAAGACTCTAATGCCCTAATCAGTAACAGCAATAATAAAGAGATGACAAAATTTTGAGAAGAAAGTGTGACTTCCAATGTTCAGTTTTCATCCTTGCATGGAGGTAATACTAAACCTATATGTGATCATTTCAATCCTTTGATTCTCAGATGTGGTTGCTTGATTTTTAAGAAATCTGCTGCAGTGTATGGTGAGTGTAGAACATACCCCTTGTAGTAGATATCCGAACACCCTTGGGCTTATGAGTTTTTTTGGACTGATGGGGTTAGGTTTATCCTTCCTATACTCCAAAAAACCCAATCGACAACCATTTTTATTATGAACAAGGTTAATCCGGAATTAAAAGTTTTATATTCAAGATCATCTGATCTGGAATTTATAAGGGGTGTACTAGTGGCTGAGATTTTTGGGTTGTAGGAAGATGAGGCTTGATTGTTATTAGACTTCTTGGTGCAGAGCCACCTCAGAACATACCGCCGGAGGATCCTCTAAATCTATCTCAACCTTGTTTCCCAAAAAGTTAGGGGAAAACTGAAGGAAAAATGATCTAATCGCAGCCTAACACTGAAAAGAGTTGACTAATGAAGTCTAATCCCAAGATGTGCCTCATCGAATCAGTTAACTATCAGAACAAAACTCTAATTTCAGCCCAACACTAATAGCACTTGCTCAATACCTGCAAAACATCCCTGAACTCACTACATTCTTGAGTCAAAATGTAATTTTTGTGACTCTTGTTTCACTGAAAATATTATATGTCCTCTACATTATGGAATATGCAAATAGGCACCAACCTGAGCAAACATTTTCCTTTACATGGTTCAGAATCTCAAACCAAAACCTTTGGCATATGCATTCTGTTCAATGGTCTAAAGTAATGGCTAACACACGTCAAAGCTCTCCATGCAAGAAAATTTAGATGGATATATCTCTTTCCCACCCTACATGGTGGTATATTCTACTTCTTTGATTTCTGTATTTTTGGGGGCTCTCACGATTCATGACAATGTTTGAAGGTTAGTGAAATAGACACTCATTAGATATCAATTTGCAACCATGACAGAGCATCTAAATTGATGGCACATTTTATAACATGAAATCATGATCTGAAATAGCAATATTTTTAAAATTAGACAACACAAGTAATTGAACTGGTTAAAAACACTAGTTATGGTTCAATGGTCCAAAAATAACTGTAAAATATTTCTTTAGGGCTCCAGGCTTTCCCGTGAACAGAAAGAAGCCTAGATAAAAGGGCTAGTGAATGTATATGCACAGCCAAATACAATATCAGACATTTTGAAGCTGAAAAGCCAGATTCAGGAAGTACAACTCCAAATGTAGCGGATGCATTACGATTTTATACAACATTACAGCAAAATACATATATAGAACACGTACCATTTCTGATTTCATTAAATAAATAAGAACCAAGCAACATTTATAAGATACAAAAATGATAGTTTTACAAAAGCAACCATTACC